TATCAGCCTTCTATTTAAAATTGGCAACTGATCCAGCACCCAGTACCATTTGTGGAAGAGAGTTCCAAACCTTTGTGTGTAGGATTTCTTCCAAACATCTCTCCTGAATGGCCTGGCCCTAATTCTCAGAGTATGCCCCCTCGTTCCAGAGACCGCAGCCTGTGGAAAGTATTCTCTGTTTGCCCCGTCTGTTCCCGTTACGCATATGATTCCAGGGCCTCTGGAAAAGCTCCTTGCAATGTCCTGTGCCCGGCCAGTGTTTACCCCTCAGTTAGCAGCAGTAAAGCTGGCGGTCATGTCTTTGAGCCACTATACTGCCACCATGCAACTTCAGAATGCACCATGCAACTTCAGAATGCACCACGCTGACCATGGGAATGGCCAGGAGGTGCCTGCTATTCTGGCTGTCAGGTTCAAGTGCCCCACCCTGGAACTTGAGCAGTTCCTGGCTTTGAGCTGCCCCGTGCAGTGTGCCACATCGCATACGTGACTGTAAATGTGGCGGAGGGCGGGAGCGTCCCTTTCCCACCTGCAGATTCCTTCACCTCTGCCTCTGGCGTGTGATCGTCCACTGGGACTCTACAAGCTCAGTCTGACCTGGCTTCGCCTCAGCTCAGGTCTGCTCTGTCACCCACTGAAACGCATGTCCCGTCTCCTCCGCCCAATTGTACCCCGAGAACGTTTCCTGTTGGCTCCCGCCACTGTCCCCCACCTGAAATTTAAACATCGCACGGGCTGTGAAGCGGCTCCCCTCCCAGAGCCGACATATCACAGTGCGGAGCGGCCCCTGTGGTTTACACTTCCTCCCCGGCCTGTGAAACTTGGTTTGTTGTGTTTTTTTTTTCTTCTTTTCCTCTCCTTGACGCGTCAACTGTGCAACCAGGAAACCACCGTGTGAGTCCGCTCGCACCTGATTGGTGCCTCCCAGCAGGAGTATTAATATCTGCGTATATAAAGGGGTGCCTGTGTGGGCACACTGTCACACCCGCTGCGGGTTGGAAAGGTGGCAGAGGCTTCTCATCCTAGTTGCAGATGCCCATCGCTTCACGCTCGCACCAACGACCCAGGATGCCCAACGATGTAGGTCCCCTACAGTTAAACAGTTAAAATCGCTTTGCAACTTGTTCGGAATCTGTGGTTGTAGGAAGGGTTTGGCTCAGGAGGTTTGGTAGATGACAGATGGACTCTGTGTGTGCTGCAAGTTAGAAATGATCAGTGCAGATTTGCCGTCTCTTGCTCCTTTCTTTCACTTTTACCCCATCTCTCATTCCCCATCGCCCCTTCTCTCTCTTCCCTCATCCCCACCGTCGCCCTCTCTCTCTCTTCCCCCATCCCCACAGTCGTCCCTTCTCTCTCTCCCTCCCTCCCCCTTCTCTCTCTCT